TAAAATATAGAAATAAATGCATTCTTATTCAACACAAACAAAAGTGTCAGTATCTTATACTTATATTATTCACATTTTATACAAACATAATTATCTTAAGGCATTAATAATGACTTGTTGTAAATGACGTTGCATTATTTCTATAATAAAAGAAGAAATTAGCAATGCAAACAACATTTTAATATCTTTTCCCTGGAATTCAGCATATTTTATGAAAAACAACCTATCCTGATGTACAAAAAGTACTAAAATCAAATGGCGGTTCATGATTTCCATTATGATAAAGAAATAATAGCATTCTAATTCAACACAAGCAAAATTAAAGTATCTTTATCCTTAAATTATTCACATCTGATATAAAATTAATTATCTAAAGGCATTTATGATGACTGATTGCAAATGACATTGCATTATTTCTGATATTAAAGAAGATATATTTGCATTTTAAGCAATGCGAACAAAATTTTAGTATGTTTTCCCTGAAAATCAGCATATTTTATGAAAAACAACCAATCCTGATGTACAAAAATCACTAAAATCAAATGGCGTTTAATAATTTGGCAAATAACAAAAAGAAGAAATATTGGCATATTTAATCAATGCAAATACAATTTTACTATCTTTTCTCTGATAGATATCATTATTTGGAAAATACAACCCAACCTGATGTATAAAAAGTACTAAATTCCAACGGCAGTTCATGATTTCTATTAAAATAAAGATATTAATTCAATCTTATTTAACACAAACAAAAATGTTAGTACCTTTATGCTCATGTTGATACTGATATTATTCACATCTTACACACAATTTATTATCTAAAGGTATTGATAATGACTTGTTTCAAATGACGTTGCATAATTTCTGATATAAAAGAAGAAATATTTTCATTTGTAATTTATGCAAACAAAATTTTAGTATCTTTTCCCTGAGATTCAGCATATTTTATGAAAAATAACCTATCCTGATGTACAAAAAGTCCTAAAATCAAAAGGCGGTTTATGATTTCTATCATGATAAAGAAATAATTGCATTCTTTTTCAACACAAACAAAAGTTAAAGTATCTTTATCCTGATGTTATTCACATCTGATATAAAATAATTATCTAAATGCATTTATAATGACTGATTGCCAACGACATTGTATTATTTATGATATGAAAGAAGAAATATTTGCATTTAAAGCAATGCGAACATAATGACGAATTGTTCATCAGATCGCGAAAAAGCGGATTTGAAAAAGAAAGATATACGGTGGTGGTACTAAGTTACAAAAATGAATGATAAATCTTTTTTTTTATAAGCATTATGGTGCATTGTATTTGATTTAGATGCTATGCATTCGCTTGTGAACTGTTTCACTGAAATGATTTATTATCATTTCGGTAATCCGTAACTTGTAACGCACAGACAAGATTATAATTATCCTTTAGATTGGTATCTACAAACAACTGTTTCTTATTCATTATAATGATAGTACGTTTAACAAATTTCACATTTGGAGGTCTCACTTTTCGAGTTGAGAGACCTTTTAATTTTGTGCGGGTTATTGTTTATTTTCGTCTGCCATGTTTATTATTTTCCGGGTATTTGTGTTTCACAATATGTCGATAAGATATTCGGTATTTCATATCGATCATGTTATACGCTTTTGAAACTTACAGCGTTTAACCGTACACTTTTCTATATAGGACTTACCTCCCCGAACACATTTTTCTTGTGATCCTTTATCTTTTGCAACCGTTTAAGAAAACGATAAAACGATGCTTCCAAATAGTTGTCACATCTGCAGGATTATCATTTTTATTTCATTAAAAAACAACAAAACCGTAAATTTTGTATATGTTACTATAAGGTAAACTTTTTTAAAGACCGGAAAACACAAAACAAATATTGTGTGAAATCAAATTACTAGTCCATTTGTATCCTGCCTTATTTGCTGAGTAAAATGTCTTTAGCCATAAATTAAGAGACAGGTATTGAAATCAATTTTAGTCAAACATATGAAATAAACATGAGTGTTAATATGTATTTGTCTATTGGATACCATATAGTTATCCGTATATGTTGAGAGCTACATGTATTGTGAACTTTGTCTATAATTGTTTTTCTGATTTCGATTTGTTTGTATTTGTTTTGTTTTTGTTTTGTTTTATATAAGATGACCAAAAGGTAGATTTGTAAGTTGATATTAAAATATTTAAAGGCAAAGTTATGGTTATCTTAAATATTAGCTTTTTTATTGGAGTTTTGATTGACGACAGACTGAAAATTCGTTCTTTTGACTTATTTGTGCTTTATAATTCACATATAATAGTATTAAAATCAGTAGAAATTACAAAAAAAGGGTAACTAGCAACATTTTGTTAAGGTAAAAATGCTGATTACTAATGTGAACAAGATAAATAAAATGAAGGGAACAAAGTCAATTGATAAATTTTCTTTTAAGTAAAGATATACGTATATTTCTAGATATATTTATTGCTGTTGCGATATTTTGTGAAAACTAAATAAATCAGTGATAATCTCTGAAAAAAATAATAATTTTGTAAATAATGTAGATGACGTTTAATTTGATCGCAGAATGAAATGTAACCAAAAGAACGATGACCTATTGTTATTTGAGTCAGGTGATGAACATGTATCTTCAACCAATTCAAATGGAATAAGGTTCACCGAAAACACTTTATCTTCAAAAATGCAGAATTGAGCATCGAACATACCCCACCATAAATCTTTAGGTATATTGACTTTGATATGACTCATGTGTCGGTGTCTTTCTCTCTCTAATAGTCCATCAAAATATTCATTGAAGAAAAATGATTGAACACTTAGAACAATTCGTAACTTTTTTTTTCAATGAATAATGCTAAGTGTGTTTCATTATCAATTAAATCCTATGGTGACTAAATGTTAGGGATAAGGGTTATGGTTATGTGAAATATATAATTTGGAATGCTGATTTTTAATTTGGATACTTTATCATGTTTATACCAGTAATATCTCAATTTGTTAAAAATCCATTATGTTAGTTTTGTCTTTTAAGTTGATGCTTTTAATTCCGTTTATGAAACAACTATGGTCGCTCACACTAAAACAACAGAGAAGAAGGAAGAATAAGTACACCATGAACTTAATAAATTTCCATTTTGTATGTGCTTAATATATATTCCCCTTATCGGTTAATTTTTGCACTATATGCACCTTTCTGCCCTTTGTTATGTATTCTCAAATTCTCTTCTTGCCATGCTCGTCCGAATGTAAAGTATTTGTTTACTTAATTCCTTCGTATAAATAAGACAGAACTCTAATATAGTTTTGGTTGCAATCAGTTGTTTTTTTTCTCTCTTGCAAACAATGTTTAATAACATAATAATCTAATATAATTTGATTTAATAACAATATTCAAATAGACAATTGCATACAAGAAAATTGTCCAGCACAACATTATTTATAAATGTACACAAACTCTATATGATCCATATTCCTATATATGACAATAAACGGTAAACTGTACGTTGTAGTTAATGGGAGCACCTTTCATGAACTGACAGCTCAAAAAATTCTTTATATAATATAACACCGTAAATGCATCTTTAGAATACAAAGAAAAACATGTTTAAAGATGCAATATGATTTGAGATAAATTATTCATATATCGCAATATATGACGATAACTTTTATTATCCTACCATTGTCATCATCGATCATGAACGTTTGTCATTGATGACGATCGTTATGAACGAGGTTTCATTGTTCCTTTGTGATATTGTGATTGTTTAGTGTAGGCTTAACAATAATGTTTTGTATCCGTACTCTTCTTATATATAAGATGATGCAATCATCAAGACATCTTTCAAATTATTTTTTGATCAGATCCAAATTCGTCTCTTATTTTCCTGTTGAAAATTCGTTGCAAACAGCCATGCCCTAGAGGCGCATATAGTTGAGTAATCTTTTATGCTTTTACCTGTATCTTTAGTTATAGTGTTTTTCATTTAAATCGAAGTATTTGTTTAAGGATAAATTTGCTACATGAAATACCTTCAATATTTCTTTTTTAGGTTTTCTTGACGGTATTATATCTGACATTTTATGAGTCAATATGATATTGCTAGTATTTCTTATTGATTTCATGATCTGTGCTTGTAATAAAAAAACATCAAAGACAGCAGGATTATCATTTTGAATTTCAAAAACTTGAGTAAAAATTTGTTACATCGAATGAGACAATTGTTGTTGGTTAATTTTCTTGTGAGGGCTCGTTGAATAAGCAGTATCTACTTTCAGATACATTTGTATGGCCAACTCGATACTTGTCTATTTATAGTCAGTATGCAGGTAAAAAAAGTAAAAACATTTATTTGCAATACATAAAAATCTAAAGTTGTGGAGGATTGCCAATTAGACAATTATTCATCAGAGATAACATAAGGTTGATGTAAGCAAACATATCGTGCGGCCTGTAATAACGAACAAAGCCCATACCGTAAAGTAAGCTATTCACATAAATGTAGACTCATCAAGTTGGGCGTAATTAACATCTGAGTAAGGTTCTATTGGTTTATTATAGTAATCTCAAATAAACACCCTGTTACATAAAAAACACGCAATAAGACACAATACATACGTTCAAAGAACGATAACTTTAATTATAATCTCCATATTAATAAAATAAAATATAAATTATCCAAGTAGTTAACTTCAGTTCGAAATTAACCATATTTAATAAAGCATGTTTTACTACAAATCATAAGCATCTATACCAAAGACTATTTTCGGTAACTGTTCAATATGCAATTCTACATATATCAATAACACCTTGTGTCAACGATCATTATTTAAAGTAATCAATTATGATACACAATTCTATTCGGAGATATTCGTAAACTAAACAATAACACATTACAAACACAGACAAGACACACATTAATTAAAACACATAAGTACAAATAGACAACACGTTAATAAATAAACATGTAAACACAGAACACAGCTTATCGTGTATATAATACAAGGGCTGAGCAGTGTTCCTCTATAAAGTTACTGTATACTCTTATACTTCACATACTGGAATCTGAATACAAAGAAATATGACTTCATAAGTCTTAATGTCAAAACTAGAAAATAATATAGTTAAACTCAATGTAAGACAATATTCTATGCTGAAATCTAATAACAGCCAAATATGAAAAATAATATAATAACTGTAATATTCTTTCTGTCTTGCAAATACCAACTTAAAGTAAAAATATGAACTCTTTCATACTCATGGGAATCAAAGTGGACTTTCATACACATTTTCATAACACATTCATATATTTTATACCAAGATAAAAATATAGAAATACATGCTATCAAAATACTAATGTAAAGAATATAACTGACCTGAATATAAAGAATGGTTTCCAGAATAAGAAGAATAAATATCTATAAATCACAATGAAGTGTCAGTGTTCTATATCTCTGTGTAGAATTTGAAAAGAGTGCCTCAATATCAAAGGAGTTCACAGAGTAACCAATCAGAATAAAGAAAAAGAAAACCCAGGATGTAAATACCCCAGTGAATAGAAAATCAAAGTACTGTCATACTGTATACTCTGTCAGAGTCAGTCAACAAGTCAATGCATGAACAAATATATACAAATACTATTTATTAACATAAATGATAAAATCAAGTTGTACTACAAACTCCCCTGCATTGGGAAATGACGTCCCTGTCATTGCAGTCAAGTTTAACAAACTACAATATATAATACACATGTGAAGTTCTGACTCTCAGTACTACTTACTAACAATTCATGAAATTAACTATCAAACATATAAAAGATAAAACACAGATCTCAATCACTGAATGGAATAATCTCACTGAATTTCTAAGATGATTTCAAAATAATGTCTATTAAGCTTTCCCAGCTTCTTTTTCTAATCCAGATAGAGTTCCATCCTTAATTGCAGAAGCCATAAATTCTGCTTTTGCTTTCCGATCACAAATCACTGCACTTTTTACAACAAAATCTCCAGACCTTAGCCACTTTGGTTCTCTCCTAGCACGACGCGACCTTCTAGGTGGAGGTATCGGAGTAAGAACCAAATCATCTAATGTATCACTATCATTATCAGATTGAACGGTTTCATCTGCGTTCAATAATTCATGACTATATTCATCAATTCCAGAAGCGCTTCCTAGTTCAGAATCATCTCTGATTTCCTGAATATCAGATTGGGCGTCCCCAACTGATTCTGTTGTATCCTGTTCAATTTCCACTTCCTGTAATACAACAGTATCCTCAGTACTTGTTGGAGCACTATCTGTTGTCATAACAGGTACAAAATAATATTCATCCTCTGATGAAGATTCACTAGCTAAGTCTGAAGTGTCTGCAACTATAACTGATTTCGGTTTCGGTGGTGATTTCATCGGTTTTAATCTAGGTTTCGGTTTCGGTGGAGTTTTAACGGTTTTGTCTGAAATATGGCCAATAGGTAGAAGTAGATTTCTATGGAGTGTTCTTAATCTTCCTTCTCCATTTTCCTTTTTAACATTGAAAACAGGTATTTCTAAATTCGGTTGCGATAAAATCATATACGGTTCATCTTCCCACTTATCAGCAATTTTATGTTTTCCGTCGAATGCAACTTTCCTAACTAAAACCTTATCTCCTTTTTCAATCGCTGCACCTCTTGCTTTGAGATCAAAACCTTCCTTTTGTTTCGCCTGAGCTTTCCTTGAGTGTGCAATTGTCTTATACTAAATATATTCAAGTAAAGTATCGCTGACTATTTATCGATGTATCTATAGTTGATATTAGATGACACGCAAATATCTGAAAATTCAATATAGGGCTTGGGCAATATCTATTTTATTCTATATTAAAATACTAAAAATACTAGTATCAAAATATTCTCAAACTAATGTCAATGTATACGTATATCTACAGTACCATCATAAATAGTAACTCAAGTAATCTTATCTATCAAAACGAATACTAGTCTAAGTCGAATGTAAATTGTCAAACTCAGTACGATATGTCTCAAGCACGTAATATGACACTAGTCTCAAATCACTAAAATGACAACTAAGTAAAAGGATGGGTCAATAGAATGCCAACTAGCAAAGTCTAGATGTGTGAAGTAACACTATAAAATAGTAAATTCAAATACCAAAGTGTGTAACGGGCACAAGCAAGTATAAGTATATGAAGTAGTAGATAAGGGTTCAAACACTCACAGTAACATTCTCGGACACAAACGCAGATTCAAATCATAAAAAAAAAAATAATGTATACCCTAACTACACTAATTGCAAATAATAATGTGTTACGTAGCATAACTCAAATCAATGTCAAATGCTATGATATACCCACTAATATCTAATACTTACATAGTACACAAGTACACATGTACCCAATACCAAGTATCTATAAAAGTCAAGGTTATACTAATGACCTACTTTCAAATTCACAAAAATGTTATACCAACTATTCTATACACACACTTGATCAAGTAAATAAACCTTATAAATGTAACCGGTTTAATGTAAATGTGCACAATAATCAACTGCGATGTATGTACATTTCAACATAAATATAAATTGTACATCCAGTGAAGTTGAAGTACAATATCAACACAAAATTTCCTAAGTACAAACACACACAAATACACAAAGAATCAACACATAAATAGTTTACTGCTAGCTAGCTTATCTCAGAAATTCAAATGTTAATGCAAGATGACTATGTCAAAATGGAATAAACACAAGAAGTTCAAAATATAATGACACAATACCCAATGTTCAATAACAAAAACCAAAATAAATTTTCTGGATTTGTTTTCTAAGTTTTTCAACACGTGTATTTCATAAATAAATCATATAATTTTAATGACAATACTTCAATTCATTACCCAAGTGTATATTCTCACCATATAAATAAGCTTCGCTACATAATAATCACTGTATCAGGTTAAAATATTTGAAAATTTAATCTTCATTCACAAAAACCACACTGTTTTTCTGTTGATGTCATTATCTAGGATGTTCCGGTTTCACAATTCACACATGCACAAGTATCTCCACTGAGGGGGTCTGTATGGGTACACTAGATCAAACGATTACCATTACCAAAATCACGTTGGGCGCCATTTGTAGACTCATCAAGTTGAGCGTAAATAACATCTGAGTAAGGTTCTATTGGTTTATTATAGTAATCTCAAATAAACACCCTGTAACATATAAAACACACAATTAGACACAATGCATACGTTCAAAGAACAATAACTCTAATTATAATCTCCGTATTAATAAAATAAAATATAAATTATCCAAGTAGTTAACTTCAGTTCCAAATATACCATATTTAATAAAGTATGTTTTACTACAAATCATAAGCATCTATTCCAAAGTCTATTTTCGGTAACTGTTCAATATGCAATTCTACAGATATCAATAACACCTTGTGTCAACGATCATTATCTAAAGTAATCAATTCTGATACACTATTCTATTCGGAGATATTCGTAAACTAAACAATAACACATTACAAACACAGACAAGACACACATTAATTAAAACACATAAGTACAAATAGACAACACGTAAATAAATAAACACGTAAACACAGAACACAGCTTACCGTGTATATAATACAAGGGCTGAGCAGTGCTCCTCTATAAAGTTACTGTATACTCTTATACTTCACATACTGGAATCTGAATATGAAAAAAATATGACTTCATAAGTCTTAATGTCAAAACTAGTAAATAATATAGTTAAACTCAAGGCAAGACAATATTCTATGCTGAAATCTAATAACAGCCAAATATGAAAAATAATATAATAACTGTAATATTCTATCTGTCTTGCATGGGAATCAAAGTGGACTTTCATACACATTTTCATAACACATTCATATCATTTATACCAAGATAAAAATATAGAAATACATGCTATCAAAATACTAATGTAAAGAATATAACTGACCTGAATATAAAGAATAGTTTCCAGAATAAGAAGAATAAATATCTATAAATCACAATGAAGTGTCAGTGTTCTATATCTTTGTGTAGAGTTTGAAAAGAGTGCCTCAATATCAAAGGAGTTCACAGAGTAACCAATCAGAATAAAGAAAAAGAAAACCCAGGATGTAAATACCCCAGTGAATAGAAAATCAAAGTACTGTAATACTGTATACTCTGTCAGAGTCAGTCAACAAGTCAATGCATGAACAAATATATACAAATACTATTTATTAACATAAATGATAAAATCAAGCTGTACTACATAAAAACTATAAACAACCCCGAAATGACAAAAAATAAAACAATTCCAACAAAAAAAGAACCTAAAAAACACACACAAAAAAAAAACCAAAAAAAAACCCCCAGAAATACAAAAAAAAAAAAACAAAAAAAAAAAAAACAAATACATGTACTGTCTGATGTATGTTCAAACAATAAACGAAATGATTCTTTTATTTTTTTTCTTTCAACATCATTATTTGTGTTAAAGTTTTCTCGTCATCTGAATGTTAAACCTATATTACAGGTGCATTAGTAGGTGGAGGATTAAGTTTGGTTGTTGCAATTGCGTTGATGCTAGTTTTAGTCGTATGCAAAATAAGGTAATACATTGTAATTACTATTTAATATTCTTTGTACATGTGATAAATAAATGTCCAAGCTATATAAATCAAAATTGGATGAGATTTATAGAAAAGTGATAGATTTGCAATTGAAGTTTTTTTTCGGAATACTATGGATTTTCGGTCACTGCAATAAATTACATATGCTGTATTTGGCAAAATCTTTCAAAAAGTTTGCTCCTTAATTTTGAACATTATTTGGCCTTTCAATTTCTTTGCTTCGAGCGTCACTGGTGGATCTTTATTAGACGAAACGGCCGTGTGGCGAACACAATGTTAAGCCTGGTATCTATGATGAATTTTTGGATAAAATAAATCCAAGTCATACAGTATGAAGAAAACTATTGTCCAAAAAACCAAATGCTAGGCAACAAGCAATAGGCAAAATAAAACTATTTACATTAAGTTGTCATGTATAGGCACTGATTGGTATCGTCAACGATAACGTTACGAAATGCTTGTTAGTTTGGTATATTAACCACGCAATGTTTCGCACATACGTTTACGTGATAAGTTTAAGAGGAAGTAAACAGGCAACTTATTTCTCAGTGACTTCTCTCTTTTTCATTTTGTTACACACTAGAGCATTTAACTATTCACCAGGCAATATAGTGACACAAAAGTACACACTATATGGTAATTCGGAAAACTTGTTTCTTTAATACTGTTAAAAGTAATTCTGTCAAATATAAAACCGTTAATAGTTATAGATTAAAAGAAAATATGGGGTCTACACACAAGTGCAAAACCCCAAAAAAACCAAATTCCTTCTTATTAACATAGAAGACATATAAAATACAAATTCATATGATAAATTTGTGTTTAAATAATAGCTCAGTTATGGTTATCTTTATTCATGCATAACCATAATCTTAATACTAACTGACGACAAATCTCTATAGCGTGTTTGTGTATAAAACGTTCATAAGAGTACAAAAACTAAAAAAAAAAAAAAAAACGTTGTTCCCATATCTTAGTGTGTACTTTGAAATCTTGATTACCTTATATATCCAATGAATCTTTTTACTATTTACTAGAAAAACTTCAAGATGAAATCAAATGTTTGCTCGTACTTCATGTTTTGCCATGTTTGTGTTTAATTTTTTTGGACTTATGATTTTGGATTGCCACCTTTGTATCTTCTAAACCTGTATTCCCTAAAATGAATCGTCGTCAATGACATTTAGCATGTTTAGTGTTAGAGATAAGGGTAAAATTCTATTTACATTTATAAATGAATTTATAATCTTCAGTTAATTGAAGATTATAAATTCATTTATACATGTAATAGTCTATTTATGTAATCGCAGAGATAAAAAAAAGACACCTGTACGATCAGTGCTAGATATATTGTGTAACAAACTACGGTTATTCATTTATCTATATCTATTTTTATTTTCACATAGGACTATATTTTCGTTTAAGGGCATATTTTCACTTAAACCGAACACAATAGTCTAGCAAACCTTCAGGATAATTACATGACAAGGCACCTTTTATCTCTGCGATTACATAAATAGACCAAGTAAATTGCTGGTTATGAAAGTCATGCACGTGTAATAATCAAATATGATAAACCTACAAATAAAAAGTTTAAAGTTATATTGATGAAAAACGCTCGAGTAAACAAATATAATCGTCATCTAATCACATGTATCTCAGGAAGTGTTAACAACTTTTTACTGAAGATAATACCCAACAACAAATACACACGTAACTACAAAAAAACTTGAACGATAACATTTTTAACTTCCTGATCGTTGTAACTTTCACATACACTGACAATCAAAAATGATATTGAGATTAAAAAGTTCATGGATATTTATTAATCTTTGGCTAATGCATATAAAAGGTAAGGTCTGTTGAAAATTAGAAATGAACAATTATATTTCTTTGTCCTTTTTAAATATAGATAAGCGTCTAGCGGAAAAACTAGTACAAATACATTATCTTGTACAAGATATTATAAGGAAGTGTCTTATCTACGTTGTTTCGTTAATATAAACAAATACATTACCAACTTGGAAAACTATGTGTGAATCATTTGCAATAAAAAAAAGTTTAAAACTTTTTTTTCATATTTAAGAATTAATTGTTGTGGCTTGTTACAGATGAATCCCCCATAAAGGCAAATTTAAAACTCTTTAACCTTGTAATGTCATATCTGGCGGTAGAACATTTTTTATATGAGTAAGATTTCATTATTTGATAACTCAATAATAACCTGCATATGTAGTAAGTGAACTGAATCAAAGATATTTTATCTATTGCTAGTAGAATAATTTGACGCTTACATTTAGAAACAACTATATTTATTTCTTTACTCCTAGCCAAAGAGCATGCATTATGATTACTTGACTAGACCGTCCTTCTTTGGGTAGCTTCCGCTTGACAGTAAATGTTTATATCTTTTAACAAATGGGATATCCCAGTCTAATATGTACGGTGATGTTATTATAGGTCGTTAATAAAGATGCAATATATAAATTGTGTTCGTATGATTTTAAGTTGAACTGTTCTTATATCTTTGATATTATCTGTAGTGGATCTGTAGTGGAATAAAAATTGATTGTTTTTTTTAATTAAGATTGACTCAAATTGATATTTATTCCTTCATACTTAACACTTAGTATGGTCTAACATACTGTCGACACATATATTTTGGCACCGTGAAGGTGCACCGACTGATACACTAGTATAGTGAGGGCATGAAGTTTTTGTTAGAAGGCTTTTGAACTGCTGACAAGATATATTATTAATACGTCTTGTTTAAGTTTACTGTTTACTTAAATGTAGAGTTATTCGAAATACTAAGGGTATACTACTCATAGGCATACATTGCCATAGTTGTATTTGACACCACTTCTTGGGGATGTTCGTTTTCAACGCTATTTATCTTTGTATTTGATTAAGCCTTTCAAAGATTTAATTTGAGCACTACTGATGAGCCTTTTGAAAACAAACCGCGCGACTGGCGTACCAAATGATAATGGTATCTTTGACGGTTTTATTCAGTTATTCATTTTTACACTTTGTTTATATGTTATGCTGATACTGAACTTCCTAGGGTGGTGTTGGTGAAGGATTGAGGGCTCACAAAAATTTAAAGATCCTTCACATTGCGTACTTGCCTGGTAAAATCAATGTTGTTATAGTCGATTGCTGTCTAGTTTTCCTTGATTGTTATAGCATAAATCAAGCAATTGTTTTTTTTCGTCTGAAATATTTAACATTTTGTTATACCGTTGCCTTTATAGCCTACCACATATTTTTGTTTTACTTATTGCTGATGGGTTTTTTGTTAACTGTCATTTTATATAGTTTTGTCGTTGATTGTTTTTATTACAGTTTTCTAAATGACAAGAACACGACAACTTCCTTTTGTATTGCCTTTTGCAATTATATACTGTTTTCAGTAACAGCTTTTTCCTCCAATTGTGATATTATCATGTTAAGGGATTATTTTTTTGTTGCAAAACACATGTTTGGCTAAAACGTATCTTAGAAAAACTTAATCTTCAAATACGGTATAGGTATTGATGTTATGGTTATGGTTACTTAACTTAACTTGTATATAATTGGTTAAACGTTTTTCCTGACCTATGGTTTATTGTGACGGTGGTTTGTAATTCTCATTGATGTTTGTTGTTGATTGTTGAATTGCTTTCTTATAATCGTATATCCCGAATCATATGTCATTCTTTTGTAAGAAGGTTAAGTGTAACACTTCTTCTTTTCGTTTTAAACTTGCCTTTCAATATTTTAAGAACAAATATTTTAAACAAGAGCTTGAGCAAGACAACCTACACTTCTATATTTTCATAATTATGTCTGTTCTAAGATAGTTTCACACGAGTATATCCTACCCAAAAAAACATTTTGTGATACGTACTTGTTCATGTGCACATTCCTGTAGGCTTATGTGCTAAAAGATATAACTATAATAGTCTATAAGGTATAAAACCACTAATTCATAGCCCCATTGATTTCTATGTTAAATTCTGCAATTTCAAGCATTAATGGCTACTTTGTCTTAAGCTCAAATAAAATGGCAGTCATGTCATGTCAAAACTATACCTTATCCTGACTTGTGATGAAAAATTCAACATACCTTTAATTGCATATTAGAGCGTACTGGTTCCCGGAAGTTTGATAGTACAAAAACCGGTACTTCTGATCTGAACAACAAGGCAAATGTGCCCTCCTATTATAATTTCATATACTTCTTTGTTATTCAAAAGAAACTTTCAACAAGGGTTCTACAGCGATCCCAAGTCCACAAGCGATCATCTAATACCACAACTATCCAAATATTTCACCTATTGACAAAGATACAGCTATGCGTAGGAACTATTTTGTTTAGAATATGTACTACTTTCTTGTATGTTCTTTCCGACCGGGCCTGAATTAGTGGTTCTATACCATAAGTTATTTAAACATGTTTTAATTTGAACTTTATCATTCAATTTCGTAAAAAAGTATGTTATGCACTTGAGCTGCAAAGATATCCAGATGGAGTAACAGCGATAGATGCAAATGATAAGTGTGGCGCATCTGGTCTAGAAAATGATCCTTTAGTTTTGACGAGGATGTCACAATTGCATGGCCATGAATTTTGGACAGGGCTTGGTAAATTTACTCAGTTTACTCGTTGGATAGAAACTCTGGGTAAGCTACCGTAATGATTTTTTTAATTACAAATTCAAAGTATTAAGACATGGTAAGCTGGATATATTTGCTGCATGGACTGCTTTATATGTATATTTGTGTTGATACTTTTGACGAATCAAAATGACAATAGTCTACTTAAATTGTTTTGATGAAACATATGAAGAATAGTTTTATTATCCAGTGGTATCCGGAAGACAGTTGAGGATTATCTAAATTAATCAATGATATTGTTCGTTATCAGTTAATTAATGGATAACGATCTAATTTTTTCTTTTCTTTTTATTTTTAGTATTAACATGTATTTTGATTTTGCTATATTAAAACATAATTTACCAATTTGGCCAGCATTCATTTTACTTCTATGTAGCATTGCAGAAGGGTATGCTGTTTTTGTGTTATGTCGGTCGTTTTTACATTAAAAAAAATGTTGGATATGTAATGAACGATTATTTCGTTAGGGGTTTACTAACATGTATTGATAAATTGTATTTGACTTCAAAGTAGCTTTCAGCTGCTGCTTTGGTACTGTATTTTATGTCCTTTGTATTGATGTAGTGGTTAGGTTTTTCATTGGCAATCAAATCGCATTACTTTTTCTAAACGTTAAACGAATTCCATCTCCTACTGATATCAACTCATTCGTAATATTAAAAACTATTCTAAAATTTAAAAATTCGCTATTTTAAAAACATATTCACATTACCGTTTTAAAACTTAATTGTCATATTCGTTTGATAGTGTCACAATTTATCTAAAAAGTTTAAATTTTGCTGTTAATAAAAAAAAACAATCTTGAATTCCTTGTGTATGGACGTAATATGTTACGCTGGCTTTATAACCAATATCATTTCATAATTAATATGGTAAATAACTCCCAACTTCTAACCTCATTTCCACACGACACGATACTACAACATATTCAAGTCAATTTTATTGTCCTTAAGCGAAATATGCCACTCATCCATAGTCAGCCGTCAAAACAATTAAACAATTATCACTCAATGACACTTTTAACATGAATAACAATAAGGGAGTTTAACAGAACCTTTTCAGCGTACATGCATTCATCAACAGACATTGATGATGATACTCACCATTTACAAAAGACGAAGTGTGGTTTTAATGATTTCTTTATACCTGAAAATAAACATTCCTCAACACAGAATGTTGATGAACTCTTAAAAATATTTATATAGTCTGAGATGCATGCTTTCTCTCTTTATTTTTATTGGCTTTCAACTAGCTGTTAGTAACTGCGATTACCCTCGGATCTGTTCTTAGTGTCTTTATGTTGTGTGGCTGTACCCGTCCACGTCCACTCTGTTTTTTTCTTAGATGTATTTATATTTGTATCCATCTGATAAGTTAAGCATTTTTCAACTTATTTTTATAGTTTGTTCTTATGTTGTACTGGTACACGACTGTCCGGGGTTAATTGGAAGGTTGGCGCCTTCAAACGAGTTTAACCCCGCCATATTGTGTATGTGGCTGTCTAAGTCAGGAAGCTGTAATTCGGTGGTTGTCCTTTGTTGCTGTGTAGCATGTGTGTTTTTCGTTCATTATTTTGTGCATAAATTGGGCCGTTAGTTTTTTCGTTTCAATTGTTTTACATATGTCATTTCGAGGCATTTTATGGCTATTTATGCTGTATGGGCTTTGCTTATTATCGACAGCAGTACGGTGATCTATAGTTGTTAATTTCTGTGTCATTTGGTCTCTTGTGGATAGTTGGCAATCATATCACATCTTCTTATTTTTATATATAATCATTCAGGACTACTTTTATTCGTCATGTACTTTCAAAGAATGAATACTACATTCAACTAGAATACACCTGCAGGTCCATGTTTAGTATTCGTATTGTCTTATGATAAAGTCGGGCTGATTATAATGTCCACATTTTTCTCTGCCTTCAAAATCTTTCCATTTAAACCCATCCTAGTTCTCTTACTATACTAAAACCGGAAACTACATGTGACACATAATATTGGTTTCGATGTCGGATGATATCCGGAACTTATTAAGTATTGGAATTATTATTTTGTGGAAAATAAAAGGGATTACAATGGTGTAATTTTTAATCTCCATTGTCCTATATAAGTAAATTATAAAGTTGAATTCTTAGTATCCATTGAATAATTTTTGTGTTATTAATTTCAACTTTTCTTTGATTCAATATGATGACACATGTTATATAATAAATGACATGATAAACGGTATACGATAGATCAAACTTTTGATACTTTTGAGAAATAGGAAATTGACAATGGGGAAACTGATATCATCACGTCTACATGATATATCCTAGTGTAAAGTCCTCCATTAGTGTCAATATCAAGAAAAAGATCAACAAATAAGCTTTTAATTTAATTGATATAATGAATGTCAAATTTGTTACTATATCCTGAATGCAATTACTCTATGAAATATGGGTTATTGAGTGACAGGACATCATCAATACATCTAAAAATGAATTTGAAGAACTTGAAAATTTGCTCTTTTGTCTTGGAGAAGGCATTTGAGTACAAATAAATTCAGTCAGTAGGGGTGCACATTATGTACATATTTGTGGTACGCACATATTGTTATGAATACATTATGTACGTACAACAAATGTACTTATAATCTGACACATACATTGTAAGTATTAAGTGTATTAATCACCCGATATGAATTATATTCAAACTCTGCAACAAAATGTATGTGATGATTTTTATTATAAAATTTGAAATGGATTACGACAAAAAAATTAGTCAAATAACAAGGGAACTTTTACCATTAATATTTTAGGTTGTTTTCCGTTGACCAAGGAACCAAGTACTAAAATAATCGTAACATCAGTCGGATTGTGTCAACGAGAATGTTCAACAAATGGATATTTCAGTTATAATGTAAATATCATAAATCAATATGTTTGTATCATCTGGTAAAATTATCTGTTCATCATTTAATATAATTAAGTAAATTGTGTTTTGAAAATATGTATAAGACGATTATGGGAGCGAAATCAAGCGACTAATTGTTTGGAAGTAATTGCAAGCTCAGATTTTTTGTCAGCAAAATGTATTACAAAAATATAGCAACCACCGGTCCTTAGGGACTTCAAAACCATATGTCAAAAACATGACACAACAAATGAAATGAAAAGGACACAAGGCATACAATTATTTGTTGTTGTTATTTGATTTCAATTTTGTCATTCGATGAACAGTATATTTACAGAAATCAGTGATATGTGTGTTACCACGTAAACGTTCAGAAGCAATTGCATTAATATAATGGGTGTTAAAAGTCATCATACATGTATATACCAGACTTATCCTTGAGTATTCAATTCGTGCTTGACTTAAGCTTATCTGTGACGTTTCAATCAAAACAGTCTCAAGGTCAAATCAATCACGCAAAAGGAGACAATTTGAAAAGATTATTCTTAACTGTGGTTAAAAAATTTTGGTATTTTTAATAGTCTGAATGTTATCAATCGGGACCTAGGCAAATAAGCAGACTGTCTTCAATAATTTTCTCATGGCTTATAGATACAAGCTTTACTCATGCAGATATAAGAATGTAAATCATTCTGCGTTATTAAATGTAAATTCACATTGTTGATTTACCTCTTAGAAAGAAGACAGTGCATGTTCCTGCTTAAACAACAACGACGTACAATTCACCAATGCTACAAACCTTTCTTCGTGCCTACAAAAACCTACTAAAGCAGCATTAGTATATCAGGGTAAGTAACCTTTACTGCTGGCTTATTTTTCAAAAGTAAAATAAACAAAACCAGTGTTTACATCTAGTAAGTTATCATTCAACCATCATATGAATCCTGTTTTCAAGGCCGTCAGTATTCTTCAAAATTGAATCTTACACACGTGTAAGAAATAGCAATCTGGGAAGTTAGTATTTGTTTCTTCTGTAATACTGAGTATCCTATGTCGTCTTTTTGATTTCAACTCAATGTCCGTCTAGATCTTCAATCATCTCAATCACTCTGAATAAATTGATTACTGTATTGCTTTGCGAAATCAAAAACAAAGATGACAACGGTGTTTGCTTATGTTAAAAAGTAAAAATGCTTGCATCATACATCATTGTATTATCCTAAATATTTCTGTATGATTCTTCCGTAAAGTTAAAATGTTTTATTTAACGTGTAATACTGTGTATTTCAATATTTCTATTTAGTTTATAATGGTACAACAATAACATCTGGAACCAATAATGGACTTTGTACGACATTGACATGCACTCCTCCCAATGTTGTACATGTAAAAGCAACCAGCTGTAAAGGCGATAACTCGATTAAAGGTTTATGTGGTAAGTTTTATGTGTATCCCTCTCATCTCTTACGATTACTAAGGAATTCTGTGTACTCATATAACAGTATTCAATATCAATGTATTACAATCATTGTATCAATATTACTGATTTTACGTTTTAAGGTTATCAATGATAATACTAGTACATAATTTGAATTCTTTTCAAACAAGTGTCGTGACAAAGACGTATGTATCATAAATGTTCAGTTTAACATTTCAATAGTTGATAGTATATAATGACATTGTTTCTGACATACTTGGTGTTCTGTTTCTGATATAACTAAAGTTCCAAGAACCTAATAAATAGTTTTGACTGTTCTTTGTATGTTTGTATTGATGTGAACAGTATTCGAATTGTCAATTTCATCGTTTGAATGACACAAAAGAGATGATATTCAAAAAATGATTACTAAGATACTTGCATTGCAATGAAAAGGTCACAGCTACATCTCATTTTGATAAAGAAGCTCATCATGATAGAAACTAAAAAAAAAAACTCCGTTTCCATGGAAGTCCACATCGTGCACTTTTATTGCATTTGATCAATTCGGATTTTTCAATAAGATCACAATTGTTAACCTACATCAACGTTTCCCGGTCGAAATTTAAAAATGTTATACTCAACATACATATTAAGGTTGTTACATAATTATTTAAAGTGTTGAACACATTTTAGACGCATTCTTTGCTAAGTGTTTGTTAAAAACATTGTTTCGTAAAGAAAAAAAAAACAATTTTTGAAGAAAAAGATGTATTCAATGACATGATTATTGCACGAACAAAGTGTTTTTGTAACTAACATGTCGAGTATAACCTCGAAGATATATACTAATGTATGGAAGGCTAACCTAATAGATTCCAAAAGGTAACACAAAGGAAAGATATGGTATATGGTTAAGGTCAAATTTATTATTCGGTGTTTTAACCGGTTTTTAAACTTAAATAATATAAATTAAGAAAATTGAATAACTATCATATAGATGGACTATATATAGAACAAATAATTTTAGTACTTGAGTTTTTTTAAATGTTATATTAATATAGATGACTTTTTTACTGAACCTAATTCGCATATTTCTGTTTGTGAACTTGTATATTCATTCTTAAATAGAATTCCAATTTTAACATTATTTGAATTCAGAAGATGGAATGCAGTCAACTTCGAAATTCTGGGGTCTCCAACAGACTAACACTTTTGAAAACTGTTGGACTAAGGACAAGCTATTATTGCATTCTAATGCCTGTCAACAATTTGCACAAAATCTAACCTCACCTGCTTGGACAAATGTTTTCAGAGAAGAAATAGAAGTGGAACGAACATTAGGTATTTTATGTCCAATCTAAACTGAAATGTATGATAATACAGTCATCTGATTAAGATCGTCGTAAAGTGACTGCTATGTACATGATATGGCGCCAAAACAAATAACTATATTCCCACGGGATTTCTCATTTTTAAGCATTTGTGACAATAACCGAATAATATCGTGATCTGCTTTGTCCATTGGAGATTTTGGACAAATATCCTGCCTTTTGTTGGCAAAACAACAAATCAGCTAACTTGATGTGGTTTGCTTGTTCTACGTTTACGTCTTACATCAAATTGTTTTTGTTGTTGCATATGTCTTTGCTTTCCATTATTATAATCTAATTTTTAACCTTACTGGTTGTGAACCTTCTTAAGTTTATCTCATAAGTAGTTAGTAGTCTAGATATATTGTAATGGCCGCCTTGGCGCTTTTCCGGGTTCGGTTGGCGGCAAGACCAGTCATTATACAGACTTGAGAATTGGTATTTGATACTTTTTTGCAAAATACGCAGAATATTTGTCTAAATAGGATGATATATGTTCCTGTGAACTGTTTTCTCATTAACTAACAAGTTATTAAATCAAATGTTAAAATATATGCTACAAGTATATCATGATAGTAGATTGGTTAAAAATTAATTGTGTGTTTTTTTGTGTACATATTTTCAAGGAATATATATTTGTCTTGCTTGCACATCACCATTCTCCTTTTAACTTAAAATGATATGTATAAATGAAATGTATTTTTTCGTTGTAGTTGACACGACATCTGTACCTAAATTTTGCCAATCTGCAAACATTTCTGATAATAAAGGGGAAAAGATGTTAAATATACATTGGCAGAATTGCTCTATAAAACTAGAATGGTTTGTTTGCAAAAATGGTAAATATGTTGTTATATCCTTCTATATAAATTTATTTGATGATTCTTTTTTTTTGTTGTTATATGCAGATGCCTTTTTCTATTTGCTGAGGCATATTAAAAGAACCAGATAAAACGTCCATAATACACAACCTAAAAATCAAAATTTCACATTACATATATACAGATATGTTCCAATCGTCGTTCCCCAAATGTAACCTACCGAATTAGACTTATCTCAGGGATTGTACTAAAATGATCAACACGACAGGTGCTGTTGAAAAACACACGAACTTTAAGGAGACGTTGTGTGGACGTTGATAGGGATAGTTAGGAGTTACTCATTACCTCAATGTGACTACCGTAATACAACTTTTGTTTCGTTTTCTTTACAATATAATGATGTCGTGACTGCTGGAAAATGTCTACAAAATTAAAAGACACATGTTCGAGACACAGTTGTGCTCTAACAAAGCTTTTTGCTGAGAACTAAAAATGTGCAATCTCACGACAAATTGACAGAGATGATTTTGGCTATTTTGGAAAAGGTATTTATCAGCCGACAAAAATGTCTAAACAAAAACAAAACCATACGTACTAGCGTTTTACTCCCATTAACAAACAGTTAATTTAACCCTTAAGTGGAGAGTTTTTATTCAATAAAAACCAAACAGCATCATTTAATCCGCAGCATATGTACGCTCGTATAACAGCATTTAATATCTTCACAAGTTGCCCAAGTTATAACTTTCGAAATTAGAAGGCAACATTTACGCTTTTGAACAGAGGTATACTACTGTTGCATGTTATTAACTGGCAATTATTGGAATCGTACAACACAGCTATTCATAGCATTACCTACAAAACAGACGTCCAACTACTTCAAATCACTGCTTAAAAACGAGGCTTTGACTACGTTTCGGGATTTGCACATACACATTTGAAATACAGTAAAGCTATAGATGCATCAAATGGTCAGCGATTTGGGAAAAAATAGAGAAAAACATACACAGGTGCATGAGGACAACACAGTACATTCATGCCGCAGATTTTATGACAAGTCAGAAATGCTCATTGAGGACTAGGATCAATAGGTCAGAGTCAGGAATCGTATTGTGCATTACTTATACTTATTATTCTAAACAAACATACATGCACGAAAGTAATTGATCAAACAACCCGCCTTGAAATTCTTAAGCAGAAGAAATAAATCGTGTTTTAATTGTCTTAGCAACCACCGAGTATTGGGCGTATAAACAGTGCGGACAAAAACGCCATACCAGTATTTGTCCCGTAAGTAAGAATCAGTTTTCGTATTCGGGTACTTCGAATTATGATTCTTATGATAACAAATCTACCTCATCAGATCAGCAAAGTGTAGCTAAAACCGCATCAGTAATGACTGTACTACAGATTCATAAGTTCTACTCAAATCTCAAAAGCCACAATGTCTTCGAAAGCTCAAGCGAGTATGGACGCACACATACTTTTCGATGAAGGGGCTCAGCGCTCGTTTAGGTTGAGGGTGTAGCGAGGCCACTAGAGGTAAAACCCTAAGAGGCAAAAGTAATATCCATTTCGGGGTTTGGAGGAGGTATTGAGTCAATACTCCATTTGAAAAACGCTCAAATATTTGAAAACTCGGATAACGAAAACCGCATAAATTAATGTGCTTGGTGTTCTTGAAATAGTTTCACCAAAACGGACACATATTACCGAGACAACTAACTTACCATATTTGAGCGGATTGAGATTTTAAGACATGAAGGTTTCTCTGTAAATTTGTTGATAAGCGGACAGTTAATGGGATTTTATTAAGGATAAGACAAATTAAATAAAACAAAAGTCAAACTGCGTTCAAGTCAGAAATAGGTCTTGTGCTATCAGTTAATATCAGTGCTATCAGGCACAGAGATTAGACGAAGGAACGTAGTCTTTGATGAGCAACTTATTTCACAACAATAAGGGTAATCCGACTTACATAATTTCTGGAGAATCGTGTTCTTGGCTATAAGAGGAGAACAAAGACACAACAGAAACACTAAAATGCACCACACACAGAAACGAGCTATAAGACAACAATAGCCATTTTCCTGATTTGGTACGGGACATTTTAAGAAAAAAATGGTGGGTTGAACCTGGTTTTGTGGCTAGCCAAACCACCCGCGTTAATGGCAATGATAAATATCACACTAAAATGACAACATTATATGATAGGACTACAATACAAATAAATGGAAGAACATACAGGACAGAGAAACACACAACTAAACAATACAATAGAACATTACGACAATAGTTATCAAAGGTGCCAGGCTTAAAGATGAAGAGCATTGATGACACAAAGCCATGACCAGGGATGTGTATTTGAACAGCATTTCAAAGCTATGGAAAAGTAAATACAAACTAACATTAATCTTCGATCTGTTTTGTAATTTTTAAATATATGTCTGAAGCAATAGTTTTAAAAGAAATGCATATTCGTATAGAATGTAGAACGGGTGTCGTTGCCATGTTGGATTTTAAAATAGCAGAACTCAAATAAGTCTAGATCTTTGATAAAAAGGTTAAAACAATCTAGAGAGGAATTTTATTCATTTGTAGATAAACTTGCCGTGATGTTTGATGTTTTTGCTCCGTGTAGAAAGCTTCACTGTGATTACGAGATGAAGAACAGAAATTACAGCGCTGTGCTTCTCCTCTTTGTGTATTTATTACTGTGCATGTATTGATTTTGTGTTATGGTTGTATACCCCATATCCTTTGGTTTTTGTTTTTCTATTTTCATACAGAATAAAGAAATGATGTGTTTTTGTGTTTTATCTTATTATTTCCACTTACTTTTAACATTTTTTGTGCTATTATTTTATTTTCATTTTTGTAATGAGAGGATAGATACGTCAGATAACCTATATATAAAGTGTATTGTCAAGTAAGTTTATACATTCTTTATTTCCTTCAGATACCTCTACAGTTGAAAACACATACCACATGGAAGTAGCAACAGATGCAAATTACGGTAAATGATTTGTTATATGTTTTCTCGATTTGCATATTTAGGCGCCCTACCCCGTTTAACACATTTTTAAATAGTTATTTCTTGCTTGTCAATGGGATTGTTATCATTCATTCAAACGAATCTGTCGACTTCCTGAAACTGTCTGTTTAACGAATTATAATTTAGATCTTCACATATGATTTTGCAATTTCTAAATTGATAGAAGATGTAAAGACTTTAAATAAATATCAATAGCATTGTAAAGTGATAATTTGTTGTGTTATGTCAAACATTGATATTTACTGCTTATCCGTCCAGTTATCCTGATTTCATTTCGCCTCATTGTTAAAGACAGAACATGAACATATAGTTTGGCAATTACTGAGTTGTCGAATTGGCAATCTTTAAGTTATTGTGCTTTTTAAACTCACTTTTCAACTTGAAAAATTTATCCCCGTGTACAATTTTCTTGTCATCGCAACTTCTCAGGAACTGTAAAAGATATTGTATATCCTTTTTCCCTAAAACACTAGTTACTTCCTCAACATGATCTACTAAATTCGAACTAAGGAGATTTGGCAACATGTTATAAAAATTCCGTTTTTGTGCTCGGCATAAATGATGTGTTGATACTACTCATTCAAAGACAGTTAACGAGACATAGGGTCTTTTGATTTAAAATCATTGATCCCTATAAAAAAAATGATCCAGGTCAGAGCTCAAGGCCATGTTTAAATTTTGACATTGTTTTCTTTCATCGCTACTGCTCAAATGCAGTTATAGAAATCGACGAAAAAGTTACCAAATTGTAAGTCGCGACTTGTCGTAACTGAAAAAAAGTTCGATCCATATGCTACCGTAACACCTATTGAAATATATACATTTTAAAAAAAAATAATCGATAAAAGTGTTGTTTAATTCCACCAGATTAAATATCTATTAAACATTGCTCGTATTCTTTGATCAAACGTCAATTAACTGAAATTAAAAAAATCAATAGTTAGCGTGTTAGTCTGTCGATACACATGTGGTCTGTTCAAAGTCCTAACTTGGAAAGGAATAAATAAACTAAGTGTCCGCCAGTATAGTTAAACCTTGTGACGAGAATTGCGCAAGCCCTGAAATATAATTAAACAAAATCAAGTTCAAGTAAAGTAAATAGAGCAAATTAAAGGACCAAATTAAACAAACTGCATACACAACAAATCAATAAAACATAAATTCCTTGGTTTCATAGACAAAAAAGGAAAACTTGTAAAGGAGGATTCAATGATGCTATTATACGGTAGGGTGTTTCAAGCCTTGCACGTTTCAAGCAAGACACAACATTATTTTAAATACAAGATAAACTTGTTGCAAGGAGCAGAAACGAGACATACGCCCTCCCTCTTTCTTCTTCGCTTGTTCTTAGATATCATATTCTATGCATTTAGTCAAAACACTGCCCCCACTACTGCGTGTCTAGTTTGGTGAGAAGGGAGGGGATGTGTTAATCTGTTTCTTTAGGTACAATGTGTGTTAAATATGTGCAATTTGACGTCTTACATACATTTAATTCAGCAAGGTAGCATCAAAGAAATAATTCAACTAATAAATGAAAGAACCAATAATTAATCAATCAATCAATCGATAACGCAATCAATCATTTCTACTAACAAAACCAATCATCGATTATTGAATGTGAAACTTGTGAAACCTGATAATATGCCAGTATGCAAAATTTTTATCAACAAATCAACCCTTCATTCGAACAAGACATCAAGACACATACACACCTATTAACTATCAAAACAAACCAACCAACCAATTGATATGCATCTAAAGTAAGTTGTTTGGTTGTTTGTACATCCAACAAAACCAACGACCCCAAAAAATAAGTTATGAAAATGCGGAAAGACCTCAAAATTACAAAAAACAATTGATTTTTAATTGTAATTTTTATCTGTCTTTTCATTGGATTTTTTATCGAATTCTCCGCCTAAATGTTATTTCTCTGCATTGCAGTTTTGTTATGTAGGGGTAAAAAATAGAACCATTTAAATAAAATTTGTAGTTTTAAGTTGTCTAATTCATTTTTGAATTAAAGCTTTGATTTAAAGTTTGGCCTGACTCCTTTTTTTGTTTTTTTTTTCTTCAGTTCTTTAAAGATGTATGAATGTTTCAAACTTCCAATAATTCTCGATTTGCCCATTATTACATTTAAAAAGGCTACCATATATTTGTTGTAACTCTAATATGATTCATAAACAAAGGCTCCGTTTGATCTTAAATATATATTCTCTTTCACAATTCTTTTTTTCTGTAGTTCTCTTTCATGCTAACAGACGATTTTTATTAAATAATAATTTGCATTTAGCATTTCCAAATAGTTTCTTAAATGTAACATTGAAATAAAAAGTGTATTTCGCAATTAAATCAGAATTATGTGTTTCTGTACTTTATTTTTACTATTTTTGATCCAGGGGCCATTGTAGGTGGATCTGTCGGAGCTGTCATTGTTTTACTGATAGGTGTTACTGTTATTCTGTGCAAAGTGAGGTAAAATCTATACGATATAAATACAAATAGATACAAGGTTAACCTCAAAGTGAAAGCAATTTCTGATACAAATCTATGCAATGAAATAAACAGAAGTTTAATAATTTCTATGACTTAGTATCTAACTGATATGCACCTGACACTTTGAGGGTTCACCTGAGGTAAAAAGGGGCTTATTCCTCATATTTTTTACTTAAAAATTAAACAAATGTATATATATGCGAGAAAGATTCTTAGATCATGAAGGGAAGCAATTGATATCCTTAAATTGACATAGTTGGTACATATTCGATTTTGTTCGGTCTGGCAATCTATAATTGCAAATAGAAATCTATAATTGAAAACACATGCAAGTAAGATAAGTTAAAAACTGTTATATGTCACGCTCTTTGTAAAGAAACTTTAGTTCAATTTAATGTTTGAATGTTTGTTCTGTTTCAAATTACACGGATTAAATATTGTTTTGTAGACGAATTGGAATTTTTAAAAGTAATGATTCAGCGAATATGGCAACAATAGTTTTTACGAAATCAGTGCGTGATGACAAAACCAATCTTGGACTACAGACGCAACAGCAAGTCCATGAAAGTTATGGTTTGGTAAATCAAGTTCCTGAGAAAAACAACAAAACAAACGATTTATATACACATGTGCAGAAGGGAAAACGTACGGAGGATACTTATACAGAGAGTTCAAATGGAGAGTATGATCATTTACATAACTTTGGTGAACGAAAACCAAAAGCTGGTGAAAATACCTACGATATCAATGCAGGAGTTCGAAACTGTAATGATCCCACCTATGACACTGCTACAAGTTCTACTAGAGTAGATATGGATAATACGTACGATCATTCTTTTTCAAAAATGAAAGCTTATTCAGAATATGACGTTTCAGATTCATGTATGCAAATCGATAGAACAAACTATAACGTATAAGGTCAGGCTTGTTAACTATATTTGGACCTTAGCTACACCCCTGAAAACCTGATAATATTATTTTGTTCTTATATTCATTAATACGTTCAAAAATATTCTCAATCGAATAAATAGATGACAACGGAAAATTTCTATTTCTCATATATACAATGTGTTTCTGTTTCCTCGTGTGTGACCTCACCAAATGCCACTTATCAACATACATGTTTTTTCCAATGACAAAAGTGAATCAAATAGATATAAGAAGATGTGGTATGAGTGCCAATGAGACAACTCTCCATCCAAGTCAAAATTTATAAAAGTAAACCATTATAGGTCAAACTACGGTCTTCAACATGGAGCCTTGGCTGTTTCCCATTCTGGATTACTTGAGTCTAATTTTAGATTCTCAATTAAATTTCTGTTGCTTTTGAGTTCAGTGTTGTATTTCTCAATACTTTATTATTATGTGTCTTGTCTGTCTATGTTTAATCGGTGTAGGTCATTACCATTTAAACTAATTTCTAAATCTTTTCAAACATTATCATACTGTCTTCCTTTATGTTTAGCCATTAGTCTGGATGTTTGGCGATTTTGGTTAAGGTCTAAAGGTTAGACAAGAGTCACCATACAATGATGTGAAGCCTTGTTGCCGAAAAATCCTAATCATATTTAAGCATTATTTCAATACGGATGAACTGATAACCCTTCCACATCAGTCTGTGTAGTTGTTAGTGATGTCCTGGGATATATTTCTTTTGCCTTTGCGTAGATTATATACCTTCGACACATTGTTCTTTTTAATTCTCCCTTCGAGTTGTTAAGGTGTAACTCTTTAGATAATTCCCTTTCGGCTGCTTTAACACCAAGGAATAATGTCCGAAGTATAAAACAACTAACACCATTTTATGGCTATTGTTAGTTTACTTATTACGTGCAGCTACACAGAAAACAATTATTAACCATATCGGTGGTATTGATAAAGCGATTAAAATTCAGTTGCAGCCAGTGACTTTACAAGTTTGAATTGCTTCCTTGTGAATCTAAAGAATGTCTTTTTTGTGATGTAACGCGTACTGTTACGGAGTGCTATATGTAACTTTAAATCTGGTTCATATACACTACCTCAATGACATCCGTTTTTTGTGACTAATATCAACACATCGTAGCAACCTCTCGGCTACAAATGGGTTGCAATTTAAATATCTATTTTATATATATAAATGAACATATGATACATATCGGTACAACGGGCACAGAGGGCTTTTAACTTTATATGTTCATAAAAGAAAATCGTATAATAAAAATTGGTAGCCGCGCGGTTAATATCAATAAGTTATAGCATCAACTTAGAGGTAAAGACTTGTCGGTTAAGGTTCGAATCCTAGTTTTCTCTTTGTCATCCCTTTTTGTTAGTTTTTCCGTTTTTCTTATTTTTTATGTTACTGTCGATTTTTTTGTAATAAAAGCGGGTTTTCCCGTTTATTTTAAGATTATTATTGCTATTTCAGGTAAATGAAAAGAAAATTATTACATTTAATTTGTCCATTTTTGTTTTATAAATGTAGTATGATTTCATCCGTTTTACTATCATTACAAATGTGTTTTTTTCTCGCAAATCCCCATGCGAGTAAATCATGATGTGCCTTTAATAAGGTTTCTTGCTAGAAATTTCGCTAACATTCTTATTATATATACTAAGAAATAAGTTTGAACATGTCTTATTTTGTAAATTACGGATAATATTGAGATGCATAATAACTCAAAGACAGACGTATTATGTTATATTTGTATTTATCTAACCAATTAATTGTGAGCTTTATTTATCAATTCATCGTTGAAAATGATAACAGGGTTATTTAAACTCACTTGCAATACCTTCTACTTAAGAACAGTATTTCGTTGTGAAAAAACACCATCACATTTTTTTAAAAGAGAGGGGAAAGATACCAAAAGGACATTCAAACTAATAAGTCGAACATAAACTGACAACCCCATGGCTAAAAAACAAAAGACAAACAGACAAATAATAGTACACAAAACAAAACATAGAAAATTGAAGACTGAGCAACAAGAACTTACTTTTAAGTTACAGACAAAATGGATAAGCGTTGATTCATGAAAAACAAACCATTTGCCATTGGGGCTCATTGGGGATTTTTCATGAATCGACGCTTTTCCATTGTATCTATAATACTTTATTGATAACAAGCAAATGTTCTGATAAGTAATACATTTACTGCAAGAAATAAGTCGAAAACTGAACATGCCTTAAAAATTTATAATTCGGTCTTTTAAAAGCTCCATAAATCAAAATAGGTTAACTAATGAAAATTCTACAAAACACTACTTAGAAAACCTAAGATCGAGTAACACGGACACCTTCAAATTCCGTTGGTTGTCGCAGGTGCTCCGAAGGATAAATAACATCTATAATTTCTTTCATAAGGAAATAAATTACAAATACCTTGGCCGATATGAATGACTATTATGTTCAGGGTTAATTCTCTAATTTAACTGTTTAAATCAATAAGGTCTAGACATTTGTAACACAAAAGGGCCGAATAATTACCCCAAACTTATCACCTACAGTAACATGTTTTATACAGTTAAAGTTATTCTGACAGTGTACTCGTGGTAAAACTTATATCATTCAAGCACTTTCTATTGTGCCTGTTCAGTTTTTCTGTCGTTCTGTTGTTTTCCTCTTATAGTTGATGTGTTTCCCTTGGTTTTGTTTTGTGACCCAGATTTGTTTTCACTTAATCGATTTAGTACTATTGAGCAGTGGTATACTACTATTGCCTTTATCTCAAGGCGGGAATTTCGACATTATTTGTGTTATGTTAAATCTCAGTATTTTTTGTTATTTTAAAACTTAAGTGTTAATGACAGATTTTGATTGTGCCTGTTGAACATGGTGAATGTATTCACAACTTTTATTGAGACGATTTGTTTACCAACCTGTCGACAGCTCTAAGTACTATGTGTGTCGATTCGATTCAAATAAGCCGACATTGGACTGTACGAAAAAAAAACCAGTTGAATTTATAAATATGACAATATCAATGATAATTCATGTGAAGGCAATGTTTCCTCCATATTCATGGCTCTAATCCCGTTTCCATATTTGGCAATACGTATTGTCCTTTTTGATTAAATTGGGTCTTCTCTATTTCTAATCGGTTTTGAATTTGATATTATGGACTCGGGCAACCCCGAAGAGACATTAATTGCTGAAATGTGCATCTGAATTAGTAACATTAGTTCTATCTAAAATACTTGAACTTACATTAAAAAACGGATGTTACGAATATGTAAACTAGCTAAAATATAAATCTGTTCATCTTTAAAATGTGTAAACTTTGTCATTCGTTATGCTACAATGTACAATAAAAAAGCATGATATTTATGGGCTTGCTTTTACTATAATAAAATCCTTGATAGAGCGTTAATGCTTACAAGACAGCTATTGTTACTAGTGTCATAATGGTAAAGTTGAAGTTTTTCCTCCAAAACTTTAACGGGCGCCGTCATCATTTGATTGACATTTACAAATTATCTGTGTCGTAGATGACCACTGATAGATTCCACTTGTCTTGACCATAATCATTCCTCGTTTACTTGATTGTGATGTTATCCATGCAACCTATCATCGTAATTTTACATCCAATGAGTAACATTATAGATGTCACTATTGTAGCAGGAATTATATACCCTTAAGGATGACCAGCGTTCATTCCCAGTTTCCATTAGGTTTGAGATGCTCAGTCGTTACCTTTTTATATTTTTATATTTTTTATTTGATGTGCATTACAGGTTAAAGATACCGAAAAATTATGTTAGGGAAACAGTAAATCGAAATCAAGATAAATCTTTACACGGAGGGACAACAAAGATTGATTTATTCAGCTAGTCATATTTTTAATGATTGCCATCGTCCAACTCGTTTTTATGTTTCGAGTTTATAAAGTTATGAATTGTTTTATAAGTCAGGTTACAAATGTTATTTTGCACAGTTTACCGTAGACGATCTTGCTTATTATGTTTAGACTCTTTTAACTATTGTGCCTCACATCGAAAAACA